GTGGCTGAGGTTGAGGAACACTGAGCTAGAAGGTCCTTAGATCAAAGCTCTCCTCCTTGGCCACTTAGCTGTGCTATCCAATGGAGAGCAAATATTGCATTTGAAAGAATAGCCCAATGACTGGCAAGGGTGACACATGCAATCAAAATTAAGGGCTACTTGTTAACAATATTTTGACATATAAGTACTTCTGTGTTGAAAACAACATGCTAACCTGGCAATACCTATTTGGTCCACTGGATACTCAAGTAAATATTCATCTTTGAGAAACATACACACTTCTCTCTCTCTTCTCCCCTTCCTGGATCAAGATGAGTTAAAATACATGTATAGTAAGTAATTTCTAAGAACACCATTCCATTCCTGAAATAGGATATAATAAATTTCATTATGAACACATGTTACACAGATAGAATTATTAGGATCTTAAAACAAATGTATTATGAAATGATGTCAATTATTTTAAGCAATATTAATTAATGTCACTTTTTTTCTTTTTTTACAGCTGTATGGGGAAATGTACTCAACATGAGGTAATATTATACAGTTTTCTTATACATCTATATAGGTATAAAATGAGAGAAATGAGATAAATTATCCTGAGATTGTCAGTTTAATTTTGGATATTTGGATATCTGAATTCCCTTGTGCTGGTTAATGACCACAATAAAGTTTTTTCTATAGGTATAAAGTAATATTTTTTTCTTTCAAAATAAAGGAAATATCTCTTCTCTCAGCCTTGCTGCTTATTGCTAGAGAGGAAGAGGAGAAAATGGTAGCTAGCGTGATCCATTTCTATGATGGAAGAGGTCACCTTTGCTCATAGATTTGTGGAGGAACTGAATACAAGCATTGCTTACCCTTTTAAAAGGGCTGGACATTTCCCTGAAATACAGGACGTGGTATTCTGCATTTAAAGCAGGGAACATATTCCATCCAGAATGTCACATTTAAAGTAGGGAAGATTTTCCATTCAGAATTGTTCTCCTGGCTACATACCACATTTGCTTAATGTGAGAGATATTGGTCTTTCAGAAGAACAAGATGAAGAAGAAAAATGGAACTAGAAAACTTACATTAATCTGTGGCAACAAAATTAGTATTCCTGCTGTTTAATTCCTCATTCTTTTACAGACTTCTTGTATATCTGAACCCTAGGTCAAATTTAGTAGTCTAACCGTAGAATCAGCCATTTTATGTGGCAGGTCCATCACATGCACACAGAGGGTGCTATGTCTCAAGTACCTTCAAATGTATTTTGGGGGGGGGGTGTTAAACGAAAAATTTAAATGAAAGAAAATTAAAACTAAAAATGGCTCGTGTGAGAGCACATATCTCACAACACTTTAATCATTTTTTATTTCTACACTTCCATTTTTTGAAAAAGTATTTTTTCCCCTACTTTTTGAATTCAGTGGGCACCATCTAGGAATTTTGTCGTGGTGTCATATTGCAGCTCCTTTTCTGTCCAGTACATCAGATTGGCTTCCTGAAAGAGAATGATGCGGGTGGTTCATTTCCTCAAAATCTGGGGGAAAATAGGCTTCTTGCATTAATATTCCAGGTGAAGCATTTATGTACTTGACGTTCATCTTAAGACTTGTCTTTTCTGGCCCTTAGCTAATTTTTTCCTTCCTGATTTCCACAAAAGGTCAAAAGATTGTGTTAGCTGCCAGGAAAATACAAATAATGAATTGCTGTGTTTGGTTCTGACCCTGACAGTGCTATTTTTTAATGCTCACTGGATAGTTTCATGGAAAGGCAACTTTTAACTCCCAGTACTGTCCTTATTCTGAAAACAAAGTTACTAAAATCATCCTGCAGCCTTGACTAAATTCTGCAGGAGAAGAGTTACATGTTTGATTTGTAATACTGTTGACAAAACCTTTTACAGGGGAGGGTTGTTGTGACTATATACCCCAGTGAAAAACAGCCCTATTTTGCTTGCAGGATCCCCTTGCATAAGTGAAAGATGCTAAACAAGCTTTTATTTCTGTTTAGATGATTTGAAACTAAGTAAAGCCGTTTGGAATGTTTAAAAATGACACTGAGCTGTTACTAATGACCAAATAGAGGTTTCGTGGTTTTACTACAAACCTTTCTATCTGCAGAATTCCTTTTATGTGAATAATTTTAAAGAAAGACATTTGAACTCTGTGCTATTAAGCCAATTGCAAAGGATCATCTTTAGAATTTCAGCAGGGAACAGCTCCAAGGAAAGTATTCGTCTGAAGACAGAAATGGCATTTCAAGATATTGTCTTTTCCAGGTGCCATTTCTGTCTTCAGACGAATACCTTCAGGAGACCAATCATTTTCCTTTTCACAGGATGGCAAAGCAGCAAATCATGTTCCAGCAATAGTGGGGTATTTTTATGCTGAAGCTGCTGCTGAAGGAGAGACTTCTGTTTTGAAAACAGCATATAAAGAAGCTCTTTGAATAATACCTAACAGATTTATCAAAGGGCATATTAACTATTTCATAGGTAGTCTTCTGTACCAATGTATACCCCTGACCTTTTTTGCCTGCTTTAGCTGGAGACATATTGTGTAACTGACTCTTAATCAGATTAATAAATAGCCCTCACACAATCTCGTCTTAATTAAAATTTATTCTGTTCTTTTTCCACTTAGTTCAGGGAATCATAGATATTCTGATTTTATCTTCACAACAGTCCTATGAAGATGTCTAGGTTATGGGAGAACCCCTCTCTTTTACCTTATCTAGGTTCACACTGCCTGAACCAAAATCTCTCCCCTCTTGGTATAATGTTTTATTTGCTACATCACACTTAGCTCTCAGACTGAAACTGATCTGTCAATCTCGGCGAATCTTCCATGCTTCTTTGACATCACAGTGTTCATGTAGACGATATGCATATGCTCGTTATGCATTTTGTGAGTTACCTTGAGCACTTATTACATGTAGAACTTATTATTCTTACTAAGGCACAGTTGACATGCTTCATTACATTCACAGGATCTTACAACCTGGTTATATAAAGCAAGCAAAAATAACTCATGTAAGTAAATTGTCAGTTACATTTAGAGGTTACTGTCCAATCAGAAGAAATAGTATCCCCATTATGGAATACTCTGAAGCACAACACTAAAATTCTGCACCTAAAAATTAATAAAAAAGGAGTTCATTGACATCTAGTACTTTTTATTCACTGATAAATTCTTGTCTGCAAAGTTACTTTTGCTTGCTGGGCACTCAGTGTTCAATTTTTATGAAATGTATAGAAAATTGTGTTGAAAATTACTATATAAAATGCCTCCTTGTTAAAGAAAAAAGGGAGAGCAAAATGCTATCTATTGTCAATAGAAATTCAGTTTGGATTATTTTGGCAATAAAAATAAAAGTTTGTTGATGCTAATTTTGCAGAAGCAGCTTAGCCTAAAGTAAGCTGGAAGTATGTAGTAAGGCTGCTTTGGATAAAAATTTTGTTACTTATAAGATTACATTCAACTGTGGACATGATTTTCCCTAGCCAATCTTATTAAAGATAACTTTAAACTAAAGATTTTAGTTTACGACTTTGACCCAGAGCTCAGATGAGTATCATAGCTTCCTAGATGAATTTCTAAGTAAGTCAGAATTAATTGACTACAGCAATTATCTTTTCACTGGGATTCATAAATCTTGCTTACTGATTTGATAATATACTTGATGACAGTTTTGTGAGGCTTTCTGTTTGTCTTATGGTCAGAATAGTCAAAATAGGTATTTTTAAAAGATAAAACTATAGTGAAGTGTTATGTGATACTTCTTCAAAGTCTAATGTGTGAGCAGGACCAATTTTTGAGCCCATTTCCATTGTGGCTTAGTCATGGCTAGACTTTTAAATCATTTCATGATTATGTAGAACTACGTTGATATTAGACGTTATTCTGAGAATAGAACATCAGAGATAAGAATTGTGGTTTTCTAAATTCTGAAGACAGCATAGCTGAGTTTTTAAGAGTTATGTATTTGGCCAGAGTGAGGAAGCTAGGCTAGGAGTGAAAAAATAGATATTCCTAACATGCCTAGGTGATGCCTTCTGCCCCTTTCAGATTTAAATAAATGAAATTTAAAAGCTTCAAAATGGCTTAAATCTGGCATGTTCCCTGTATTTTCACTTGTACTTGCCTGACATCTCAGTCATTTTTAATTGTTGATGGCCAACACATTGTGTAAAATTGCACAGTGGATCCTGTGAGTGATTAAGGTTTCAGACCTGGACCCAAATTCACATCCCTGTCCTTCTGATGATTTTTTTTTTGGTGCCTTTGAGTCAGTATTGACTCCTGATGACTACCTGGACTAGTCCCTGCAGTTTTCTTGGCAAGTTTTTGGAAGATTTCAGAACTCCCATAGAAATAACCCTGAGTTCCTAGAGGAAAGGCAGCAAATAAATAAATAATAGTTGCTGACCCCTGAAGTTTATCAGCATTCAGGCACAATGTTAAAATTTTACTTTAGCGTTTCTGATTCATCTATTCCTCTTTTCCCCCCGGAGGAGAAAATTAGAAATTATGGTGACTTGTTATGTCTGAATACAGGCAAACTGTGGTCACTGTTAACAGCTGGTGGGTTGACAAGTGGCTTCTTTTTAAAAGAACATTAGAACACAGACACTAACATACATTCATCAGTTTTTCACGTTTTACCGTGCAACCACTGTGGCTTTGCTTGTTTAAAGTGTTTTCTTTCTTTGGCTTCCTACCCAGCAGGTCTATCCAGGATAATGGGGATCAAAAAGTAGAAAATAAAATCGAAGAGGTCAGTACACTATGTTCTCTATTTCTTTCCCCACTCCCTTTTAATATTTTGCTTTGCACTAATAAATCAGTTATCTGCTTTTTTCCTTTAATACTTCCTCTTGAATTGAACAGGCTTCTTTTCATTTCTTATGCTTGCAAGAGTATTCCTAGGAGTTGGTAAAAAAAAGTCAAGATGACCACAATGGTGCAATCAAAGTGACACACATAAAAACTGGGTGGAGTTTCGAATTCACCGCTGCAGCTGCCATCTTGATTTTTTTTTTTACCACAACCTGTGGGCACCCCTTCCACTTGAAAACTTGCAGAAACTCTCAAAACCTGGAGCTCCACCTCTGCGGACTGTTTTGCCAGCTTCTCATTTGTTTGTTGGGGGTTGGGGTTGGGGGAGGATATTTTTACAGAGTGTGCTTCCCTTAATAATGTCCCCATATTTTAGGATGGCAACCGACATGCATGTCAGTTCTTAAAAATATAATGCATACTTATGTGCACCACAAATAATCATCTACTGATCTTCAGGCCAATTTTCTCTGTGCAATCTCCTAGTATATACATCAGCATCAGAATAGACCATTTTGATTTCATGTTAATGGTTTGCCCTTGGTATTCTTAATTTTAAATATGCTTTACTGTTGCTAAAATGCAAGTGAGCTGGATTGAGACTTCAATAACTTTGTTGAAATCACCGGGGTTTATTTTAGTCATGAGTAACTTAAGTCCCAATGATTTCATTTGATCTATTCTAAGTATAGCTTAGAATAGATCAATTTCATTTGATCTATTCTAAGTATAGCTACGTTTGGAGCCATCCCAATATTTTCCAGGGCTTGCTTGTGTGTGTGTGTGTGTGTGTGTGTGTCAAAAACATAATAACATTAAATGGATGTGAAGAGCGGAACATATGAATAGTGTAAATAGGTAATTACTGTTTATAATATAAAATATTATTAGTATAACTTGTAAAAACCCATTCTGAATGTGTGACTGAAACATAAATGAATGAATTCTAGCTATTTGCTATAGGATTGTATTCATGCTCACTATGTAACTGAAATGGGGCCCTTGGTAGCTCCCAGTGAACTCCTTAGTTCTCTTTCACAGGGTTGAAGGAGTCTTTGGAGAAGATTTGGGGATGTAGAGGCAAGAAAAAAGAGCAAGGGGAAGAGCAGTGTTGATTATATCCAGGGGTGTGCTGAAGGGAGCTCAGTTTTGAGAGATTTGGGTTTTTAAAACATGGTTTGATAGAATTTGACATTGCAACCATAGAAGATAGCGAAACGATGTAGTAGAAGGGAGTGTCAAAGAAGAATGTGTACACAGCAACCTTCTCAAAGGGCAAGGAATGAAGGCAGATGCCGTTGGTGATGATGGGCGGGAGGGTGTTTAAGGAAGACCTGAGAGAGGGCAGGCTTAACAGTTGTCTGTCGCGATTAATCACTTGCATCTCTGGGTAATAACTTGATTAGTTCCAGATGAAGAGCAGGAAAGAACAAGTGAGAGAAACTGGATGTTTTCTATGCTGGTCTATGACCATAATAAAGATTTGATTTGATTTGATTTGATTTGATTTGATTTGATTTGATTTGATTTGATTTGATGTTTTTTGGGTTTGGACCATGACCTTTCTTGCTACCACCACCTCTGCCCTTTGTAACTGGAGAGAATCTTATTACGAGATTGGCAACACTGTCAAGTATATCCCTAAAATACTTTAAATGTCTTATAAGGCCTCTATTTTCTACCATTTGTCATTTTTAGTGGAAAAGATATTTATATAAAATTAAAATTAACTTTTAACTTTCTTTTAGGTTGTTGCACCTTTAAGGGAAAAGATCCGAGAATTAGAGAAAAGGTATGTCGATTTGTGCTTTCAGTAGATCATCTTTTGTCCTATTTTGAGTTCAGGCGAGGAGCTTAATTCAGAATACTTGGTCGGAGGACATCTTGCAGTACTGAAGGAACACCTGTTTGCAATAAATGCTACTGTCTTCTAATGGTAGTATTAAGTACAGATAGTCCTCGGTTAATGACTGCCTCGTTCAGCGACAGTTCTAGAGTGAAATATGACAGAACAATAATGCTAAAAGGAGGAAGGTGGAACAAAATTGCTTGCTTCATCCAATTCTTTTCTGTAAATGTCAGTACCTAATGTTTTCCAAATATATTAATATTTGGAGTTTATTTTGAAAGTAAATGTAAGGATTTGGCATACAGTAACCTTCAACAGTGAACATTGATTGATCATATCTGGCATGTTGCCACAATTCTCTGGAAATATGTGACAGTCAACCTATAATAGCATGCAGTATATTTTCTAAATTCCATTGATCAAAGATTTCTTAAAAGAAATTCAATTTTTATTCCAAATTGAATGCTGAAATATAAATGGAGGATTTGATATTAGATAAACTTCTTTAGAGAAGTTTGGCTGAATAGCAGATTGAAAACAAACTATTGCAGTTATTTAAATTCTGAACTTATTTTAACATGAAAGTCATAATTCAAGCATTACTGTGAATTAAATACCAAAAACTGTCACCATTTTTTCTGCCACTGCATATTTATATTTATGACAACATATAGAACCATGTACTATTGTGAGCTGCTGGTATATTTTTACACCAAAACAGCATTTTTTTTTATCCATTAAGAAAGACAGAAGCTGCAAATGTGTATTGTAAACAAATATTACCTAGCAATTCAAGCAGCGAGTCTCAAATGTATTATATAAGATAGATGTTACAGAATTCTAAAAACTGTCTCTTATTTTGAAAAACCAAGTTGGTGTCTTAGTAAGTATTTAGTAGGTAGAGTGGCAGAAGGATACTTCAGATCTGAATACGAAGTACGATCTTTTGCTGTCTGTTCTCTCTCTCCATTTCAAAGTTGACACATGGCGTTGTGCTGGCAATCTTTACCCATGCTGGAATCAATAATGTCTATAAGTGTAATCGGATGGAAGATCTCCCTGCTCCGGACATAATATTCTCTACACCTGCTTGGAGAGCTGCTTGTACCTAATTTATATTACTGGAATTGCTTCTTTCTGAAAATGGGATTTCTAAATAGTCCTTATAGCGAGTGAATTATAAATATGGAGTAAATCAAGTGTAAGATAATGAATCTCTCAGAAGCTGTGATGTTAATAATGTTCTGGCCTGTCAGAATATTTATTCAGAATATCACCTCTACTTTCTTTCCAAATATCAGTACTGAGTGCAGAGCTAATAAGAACTTTCAAGTATTTCTCCCAATATACTGATAAATGACTTTCCATATATGCTGTAAATGTATGATCTTATTATTCCATACTCTGCTACAAAGCAAGGATATATTAAATGATTTTTGGTGTCTTTTGTCAGTGTCCCTGTATAGTTTCTGCACAAGGCAGGTGCACTAGTTTTAATACATGTGAGTCTCCTGAGATTGGCTTTGGATGGTTGAAGTATATGCAACCCTGTTAATAAATTTCAGAACACAGCCTGAACATATTCTTGAGATCCAGGCTTGGCTCAATTCATGCATCACCACAGACCTCTGGGACTTCTTCCCATGCTACTCCAACAATGTCTGGATGGCAGAAGTATGTGAGGAGGGCCAGGACCAGGATTCCTTTCCATCTCTACAATGGAATAGGTCAAGGAATTAGTGGCAATGCATGAATCAAACCTTTCTCTTGTGAGAATGTTCAAGCCAAAGAAGTCCTGTTTAATTCTAAGGCTCCATTGTTTTAAAATAGATCTTCTGATGTAGAAGAATATTAGATTGGAGTGCCCTAGAAATCTCATAAATAAAAATAAGTAAACCCTGGCAGGGTGTGGGAAGAGAACCACTGACTGAACCAAATAACCAAGGAAGTATTGACTCTTTTTTTCTCTTGTGAAATGCCACAATCACTTAGAAGCAGATTTCTTTTGTTCTAGCATTATTTATCCTCCAAAATGAATTGCAGCAGTCCTGGAAGAAAGCTCTTCCTCTTACATACCTTCAGAGATATTTTGAACCATTAAGCATATCAGAGATCATTTTGGGGACTATTAAATATAAATCTCCTTCCTAAATACTTTATTAATAATTCTGAAATAAAAGATTTCATAATCCAGATTTTTTTAAAAAAAGAAATCCAGGTTGGGGGGGAAAGCAACAAAGTGCTTTAGGGCGAGAAAAAAACCTAATATTTAATGAACCTTACAGTGCTTACTGCTTTACTAATGTACATACTGATGTGTTGTTTCAATGTTTCTGTTTTGAAATGCTTCATAGTTTTACTCAGAAGTACCCACCAGTGAAGTTCTTATCTGAAAAGGACCGTAAAAGAATTTTGGTAAGTTCAGCACTTGTTGGAGGCTGATCAGGTATTCTCAATTTGAGCATACAGTTAATGAAAACAAAGTTGGAAGTGGGGTCCAAACTGATAAGGAAAGAGACAGAATAATCTTACTTTGTGAAAAATTGTACAGAGATCCAAGCCAGTCTTTTCCTGTGGGTCTATGCAGGTTTGCATGTGCAAGGTAGTTCGGTGGTGGAATGAACAACTGTTTAACTCCATTTGGTTTCTTTGCTGAGCATCCGGCCCAGGCTATCCTACTGACTCCCACTGATCTTTCCAATGGAATGCATGTTAACCATACTATGGTTTGCTCCAGTTCAGAGAAGAGGCAATGTATGGAGAGACTTTGGATCCTGCAGGTCCAGGCTTGCTTCCAGAAACTTCCCATTTGCCCCTTCCTGGGTCAAAAGACAAATGTTGGAGATAACTGAGAGGGAGATGGTTTTTCAGCTTCTTCCCTAATTGGATTTTAATTCTGACTTTAATTTTAATAATTCGGTTTCTGTGCAAAGATATTTCTGTTTTGAAAGATAATGATCAAGAGATTAGTCTTCGATTAATATTGTTGAATAAAAGAGGAATTGATTGAGCAAGGCCTCAACTGATATGCCAGGCAGTTGGGAACCCCTTGGAAGCTACTCTTTGTAATCTTAAAAGAGAAACCAGTGATCATAAATAAAAATCCCATAGAGAATTAGTCATAAAAATGTGCATTTCTTTATTAAAATGCAAAAAAAAAAAAATTGGGTAACAAGCTTGAACTTGGGATTTGGAGAAATGATACTTCTCTCAATGAATAATGCAGTGTGATTATATCTGCACTGATTTATTGGAGCAGTGTCTCCTATAATATATCTAATGAGATCCTTCTATATTCTGGAAGAGTAGTTTTTCAAAATACCAGTGAACCATATGAGTGAGTAACTTCAGATGCTTTCCAGCATATTGTTAACGTGGCCACTAACACAGATAGTTTTTTAAAGAGTCAGACAATATTATTTATGTTAGCTAAAAAGCAAATTATATGAAAGTAATACATGATTAAAGTAATATATCATGATTGCCATCAGTGAGGTGAGGTTAAGCGTTTTCTAGAAATATTTCTAGTGTTTTCTTTTTCCATGGAAAACGTTAACCTTGTATCTGTGATTATGCCAATTGCTTTATACCAATCATGATAATTTGCATAAAATAATTTGCATCAAAAATTTGACAAAGGCTCAAGCTAAGCGCTCTGAACCTGTGTCGTAATGTAATATGGCTCCCATGCTTCTACTACCCAATAAAATTGTCACCTTATTTCACCCCTCACTGTTTAGTGACCCCTTTCAGCCTCCTTCTGCAGTGGTGGCTGAAATGCTTTCAGGCCTTCAGCACATTCGGGGGGCAGTCCTACAGCATGTGTCAAAGCTGTCCAGCCAGGTATCTTCTCAGCATCTTCCAAATTAGCAGCTTCAGTGCTACAGCCTGCACTGGGGCGACCTATCCTAGAAGTCCTTCATCTGGTCACTGGGGAGAAGGGCTGACCCAAAGCAGTTCCAGTGGATGGGGACTGCTTTGTTGAGGTGAATCACACCACCTTTTGCTTCAGAGCAAATTGCATCTCCATCGTAACACAAATCTCCTTATTGTTTCATACATACCTAAGATCAATCCTTAAAGCTCTATGAAATAATTATGCAGAAAATAAACTACAGAGCTCTTGTTTCCTATTTGCAGGCTTTACTCTCAAAAAACAATTGCTTTCATAATATAAATGTTGATGAGGAAGTTGTGTAAATGCTTTCCTTCGTTGATCATATTGTGTTCCTGCAGGCATTTGTGGTGGTGTTCAAATACATCCTTAGATATAAAACATACATCAGATGACAAACACGTGTATGATTCTCATACTATCTGATACAAAGCTGATTATGTATAGGGAATAGCATGTAAAATGGACCAAGATTTTAAACAGTGGAAATTAGTACTTCCATATTTATACAGAATCTCCTACGAAATATTTCCTAATCCCAGTTTTTGTATATGCTTACAGAGTACTCTGTTTAAAAAAGAACAGGATGTTGCTAAAATTGTTCATTTTCTGGAGCAAGGAATATGCTCGGCGAGGAGTTTTTGCTTAGCCAAGAGACCCAAACTCCATTGTTCAATTTTGAAAGTGAGCAATAGGATTGTTCACTTTAGAACTAGAAACTTTGAGAAGAGACATCAATTTTAATAGTACATGAAAGCTGTAGAAAGAAGATGTAAAGCCAATATATTTTTAATCAGTGACATACAAATGAATTTTAATTAATAGTTTATGGTTCATAAGTCTCTTGTTGAAGCAGTGGACCAAAAATGCTATTGATGTCAGCCTCTGTGGCACCAGGGTTGGCTGATGTATCATTTTGAGAAGCATTTTGTTTTTGATAGAACTGGAGCTTTGCAGTCTTCGGAGATAAGATCTAACAACCAGATACTAGTGAAGCTTTCAGAAATGATTGGCATGCTCCCTCTCGGTGTTTTCACTTGCAAATGATTCCCATTAATCTTGATTCATTTAAGTATATTTATCTGCAATATTTAAATACATACTTTCCTGGAACAGTTGCCAGGCCTAATTTGTCCAAAGAAATATCAAGCAACAAAAGGTATTGTAGATTAATGGCAAATGTTAAGATTATAGGGGCTGCTCTTAGGCAATCACTGTGGATATATGAGAATTTGAGAACAGTGTGTGTCTTATCAAGGGGCATCCTCTTGGGGGGGGGAGGTTCAAAAAGTCAAGATGGCAGACACAATTGTGTGATTGAATCCCCCCTTTTAACATGTTGCATGCATGTAAAAAGAAATGGAACTTCAATTGTACTGTTGTGTCCACTATATTGACTTCTTTTCACACACACACACACACACACACACACACACACACAGAGAAATCCCTGCAGATAGGATGTTCTTGTGGAGGTCTCTGTGCTCATCTGCACTGGAGAAGGATATAAATATAAATGATTCTATGGGATGTACCACCTTCAGGAGGTTATAATTACTAGAAAGGAGATATATATCAATCTAGTAACCTAGATTTTCTTGGCTGATGATGTAGTTCCTTGACAAATGTTCTAACATTTATAAAATGGCAATCAAAATGAGCAGCATGTGAAATGCAAACAGTAGACTTCTGGCAACATGCCTACAATTTTCATTGTATGCTCTTCCCCCACAAATCTATTAGCTTGGTGTGCTATGATTATTTGTAAAAATGCTGTACTCAGTATTATGAACACTTCCAATCTGGCATCTGTTAGATATGTTCAAGATGTAGCCCTGAGACTTTAAACTACATTAACGATACAGCTGGTCTTTGGTTCATGTGCTGCAGCGACTCTCATAATATAGGTCGAAAAGGTAGAACCTTTTAACCTTAATTTACTTTATATAAAATTAATCTAAATTGAAATAACTTTAAACTTATTTTTCCTACTCTCAAATTTTAACTTTGTGGGTCAGTAATTAATGACTTGGATCCTATGAGTAGCAAGTAGAATTTCACTTGCACAGTAAGACATTGTTAACTGGAACAGTTTGTGGCATATCCCACAATGCTCTTGGGAAGCCTGCAAACCCTTGGAGTCGTCGTGATGGCTGAGAATTCTCAGTGTATTTGGAGGGTACCATGTTGGAGATGTTCGCTTCAGTAATGAATTGTTGCAGTGCACCAGGAGCATGTATTTAGTTGAAAACATTGTTATGGATTGATTGTCTTGGGTAGATACACTGAACTTGTAACATAATCTACAATACATAAAATAGATTCTTTAATCCTTAATAGATGGTTAGAGATGTTTTCCCCCCCTTTCATTCATTTTATCAGCCATTTTAGCTAAATAATACTAAATAATGGAGAACTGTAATTTTTAAATGGGTTGACCTGTCAAATTCAAGCAGAAAAATATTCCTTCTTTACTCCATGTAATTTTCTGTCCCCCTTTCAAGTGTGTTTTACCATTGTAAAGGCAGTAATTAACAAATGCACAGCCAAGTTGGCATATGTACAAGACTTTCCTCTCTTTCCAGTATGAGGACATCGTCCACTGTTAATTATTTGGAATATCTGCAATCACTTATAGTCTCCCAGCTGCTCTATAGCTTGTCTTGGTTGAATACCAACATTTGGCTGTTATATGGTTGACCCTTAGGAAGTTGTCATATCAGACTGAAGCCCATTTGTTTTCACAGTTCAATAGTGCAGTTATTTTCCACAGTCCTTGGAATGTTGTGGGTAATTAGGACTTCTAAATGGCACCAACTAAGGAGCTTTGTATTTGTATGAAAAACTAGATGACCTATAATTTTTGCCCATTATCTGTGCGAAGTTGATGAGAAGGCTTACAGGAAAACCATGAGAAAATGGACCTTTGCTCAAAATGTAGTTCTGCTTAATTCTTTTATTTAATAGTGAAATAGTAGCTGTGGGAAAAGCCCTCTTAGTGAAGATGGTGATGCAACAGCATTGTACCTCCTGTCTGTACTGTAACTCTTCTGTGTGCATTCTATGTCTGCATGCCTCTTCTATCAGCCCCCCACATCATGAGAAGCTTCAATGTTAAGAAGGTGGCAAAATCCTCTTCTTGATTAAAACCAATGTTCTCAACATGTAGGAAATATATCCTACACAATGTGTGAATATACTGTATGTGTGTCCTAAAGTCTGACTTCTCTTCCTGTATCTTACCTAACTTCTGTGCTAAACTAAATGGAGAATTTCTTTGGTGGGATAAGATTGTAAACATTAATATTTTTGGTTTGCTTGATTGATCTGGATGAAAATCTTGTATGTGGCTCCTCAGCCAAGATGTTAGAAAAATTCTGGACGCTGTTATTCTTTCATGTAATGTTTGTGGACTTTTTGTCTGGTGTTTTCATTTAAATTAGAAGAAAAATTTATATGCAAACTGTCCTAATGCAGATAACTGGAGGAGCAGGGTTTGTGGGTTCTCATCTTACTGACAAACTAATGATGGATGGCCATGAAGTTACAGTTGTGGACAACTTCTTTACGGGCAGGAAAAGAAACGTGGAACACTGGATTGGCCATGAGAACTTTGAACTGATTAATCATGATGTTGTAGAGCCCCTGTACATTGAAGGTGAGTACCTTAAGACATACATGCTGGGTATGACACTAACAAGCCATTCTTGTCTTTGCATGAAGTGCCTCCTCTGCATGGTTGGAATGTCTCTACACTAGCTTCTTCTACCTGATATCCTCAAGTTGTGTTAAATCTATATATTTTCTATGGAAAATATTTTCCATAATTCTTAGACTGTGTAGTATACACTGAGTGATAATTGTGGTATTTGAAGCTCAAGTAGAGGCTTGATACACTTCTTTCAAGACTAAAACAGGTTGTTTTGATCTTATTGGAGGTGTGTGAAGCTGTTCTGAACATTACAGAAGTTTTCAGAGCTTGAAATGTTTTGAATTTGATATGTTTTACGTACCATTGAATCCACCCATACCTGGAGAGCACCACACTGAAAGGCTGGCCTGTACAGGCAGTTTCTACCTAGAGAACTGATAGGATGGATTAAGTCTTCTCCTAATTATACCAGGTGCTCTGTGGGACCTAGAGATATTGCCAATTTAGAATGGCCTTGGTTTTAAATTGAATAAATGTCCAGGTTCTCTAAACTTGATCTAATCTGAGTCAGTTTGATATTGACCATATATAGCAAGTAGGGGGTTTGCCCTCCACCAGCAGTCCATGCATGTACCTTAAGAACAAGGGGATGTAATGTTGCCTTTCTTCATTGTGATTTGAATTCAGTGAAGTCATGTGGAGGAGCTATCCTGAAGTGTCTGGTTCTGTTTTTTAGTATAGAGGAGACTTTTAAGCATCCCAAGAAAGTGAGGAAAGAGTAGTATTTGTTCAGTAGTATTTTTTCTTGAACTCTTCCCACAGACCCCATATCATTTGTAATGATGGAGAATGGGAGCAGGGACTTTTTAGTGAGAATGTTACATGCTGGCATTAATTCATTTTCCATCTGGTTGGATCCCCTAATTACTTTTGCATGAGTTTAGCTGCAGTTTGTTCATGGCCCACAAGACTTTGCTTATAGAATCAGATGCTTCACAGTACAAAGTATCTTCTCCATTGGTCTATAACAACATAAAAATATAGATGCAGAAGTCACCATTGATTGTACAAGGTTAATTCTTGAATTGGCATACCAGAATGTAGGCAGCAAAAGTATTCCCCCAACTGACTTTTGAAAAAAAAAATTGTATCATTCATTGGGAAATAATGGCACAGGACTTGAAGAATTACTTTGCTTTCTTTATATAGTGATTAGCTGGGTAGTGTGCAAAGTGCATATTCTTAGCTTTCATCACTAGCTATTACATTTGCTGTACTCATAGTTTGCATTTCATAATAATTATATTCCTTCCCCCCCCACCCACTTCTGGTTCATGTCTGTTGCATATATAAATGCATATATATCTAAAGCTCCTGGTTCTTCTCCTAACTGGTGGCCTTTCCTTCCTTTGGTTTTCTAAAAGGCATACTTCAGCCATGCATGTTTATTTTCTGACTTGTGAGGAAGACCCCTAGTTAGAAGCAGTCTAAGCTTGCGCATGAGGATTTAAAGAACTGACTACCTGGCAGAGCTGGTGGTCTTATTACAGCTGCTGCGAAAGTGGCCTTTTCATGTTCACAAGTACTTTTTCTGGCTATCAATCTGCGTTTCTCAAGATGTATCTTGCCTGTATGGATATGTAACCTAATTCAGAATATCTTGCAGTTGAAAAATAACTTTCACCTGTGCACATTAATCATAAGATAATAAACTGGATGACAGCTTGAATTTTCCATAGTATCTTTGATGCACTGCTCTTCAGCAAAATGGGTTCACCTTGCTTCAGATTTGATTACCCAATACTATAGAGGTTGTGAGCCAACCCAGAGTTCTGAGATGTGTATTTGCACTCTAATTCTGTTTCTTTTAGGAAATTGGTTACAAGAGCATCTTGCAATAATGGATGGGGTTTTGACATGTGTATATCTAGCACAGGCTGGAAAAGTCATGTAATTATTTTGTTGAATCTCAGGGGTTTTTTTAATCTGATGTAAAATAAATATTCTCTTTTTTTTTTTTACTTTTTCTCATATAGTGGACCAGATTTATCATTTAGCCTCTCCAGCTTCTCCTCCAAATTATATGTATAATCCCATAAAGACATTAAAGACAAACACAATTGGGACATTAAATATGTTAGGTGAGTATAAAATTTAAGTGCAACATTATTTTCCTGTTTACTTGGGAGGGATAAAACCCAGCATTCTGATTCTCCAATTTTTACATTAGCGTGTTTCTCTGTAGCTGATGTGTTTGTTGCAAATTGGCCTTCCTGTTTGATTTGAAATGCTAAAAAAGGTTATCTTTGTGAAATGCCAAAAGAGGTTCTGAACTGGCCGTACAGAAGCAGTTCACACAACATACTAAGACAAAATATGATTTTTCAACAGATGAGCAGCATGTTGACACCTGCCACAGTTCCTCTACCTGTTCAGGTATTCAACTCGAGGGCAGAGTTTACAACCCACTTGTGGAAGGGAATGCTCATTCAGCAATAAATTCTTGGTTGCCCAAGACCCCACTTACAATTTTGAAGGAAGTTGAGGGCCCCATAGTGTAGTGGGCCACGTTACCTGTATGGACAGGATGAGAGTTTAAGACAGTTTGTTTACCTTTTAACTGGAGTGGGCCTATTTTAAGTATTACAGAAGAATTGGCATGATCAGACACCATGTCAGTTTTCAGCAAGCATGATCAATATAGACTCCAGAGATGGCAAAAAGGAGCCTTGGGCTGTGGATTGCCCACCCTGTCTTAGCAGTGTGTGTGTGTGTGTGTGTGTGTGTGTGTGTGTGTATGCTTGTGTGTATGCGTGTATATATAGGCCCAACTGAACCAAGGCATGTGCTTATAAGTGCAAACGTGATGGCTGAAGCAGCCCTTTTCAAGATGACATTCTTAATAGAGAGTATAAGCAAATATTCATGTCTAATACAATTTCAAATCATTACCATTCTGTTGAGAAATTTGGTTTTGAAGTTGTTATCAAAGGATCTACTGTAATAATACCAAGGCCATTCAGCCCATGCTAATCATTGAAAGTTGTGACAGAGTGGAGTGAGAAGGAATTCACAAATTTGGTGAATGGCAGATCCTTTGCCATTGCTTTGGCACAGATAGCAAAGGATATTTAACAGTGCCCAGTAACAGGACAGTTGTACAATAAAATTTTCAGGCCAAAACACTGAGCAATGGCCTCAAAAGTAAAAAAGCACATGTCTTCACCAATAATATTCCCAGATGTATCTACCTAAAGAAATAAATATGAATCTTTTTATTTAGAACAAAATTGTGCTGGGGCACATTTGAAATTTTAGTCATAGTCAAAAAATAATTGTAATAGGAGCCTTGCCCATTCAGAAAATGGTGCAATTGAAGACATGGCCACTCATGAAAGGTCATTTGCCAGAAGGTATATTGACCCCCATATTCCTCTCTGCCATTCCAGTGGGACCCTTGTACTGCTCAAGGATCACTCCTGCAGATCAAAAGGATACTAGAGAACTGTGCTTTGTTTGAAGCATGGTAGGGTTTTTTAAAATTAATAATTAAAAAATCAGATGGGGCAGGGAGCCTAGCGAGTCTTTGTAGAAGTACCTGGGAATGCTTTGGTACCCATAGGCCCCAAGTTGTCCTCCCCATATTAAAATGTTGTTTGCTCTCTTAAGTACTAAGCAGTTATTAGTTGGATCAGTCACATGTATACACAAGTGTGGCTGAAGCCATTCATTATTATGGATTCTTATATTCTTTGTCTTGTAGCCTTCAGCCTTGATGTTCTTGGTTTTCTTATGGCAGGATAAAAGTACAGTGATACCTCGGGATACGAACGCCTCTGCTTGCGAATTTTTCGGGTTACGACCAGCTCTGGCCCCAAAATTTTACCTCGTTTTGCGAACTCCGCCTCGGGGTACGAGCCATTTTCCGCCCGTGCCACGTGGTCCGCGGCCATTTTCTGCGGCCCTGCCGCGTGGTCCGCAGCTGTTTTCGCGCCGCGCCGGGCTGTTTTCGCGCCGCGCCGG